CTGATAAAATGCTATGACCTCAGATAGAGGGAGAATCCGGATCAATTCCCACTAAAAGGCAGTCCTAATCCGACAGGAGTGACCAAATAAGGATGGCAGTGGATCTAACGGAAGCTTATGCCTGCCCATTCAAAACATTATAGTAATACCCATTCGGTCACACACACACAAACACCTGTTGGTAATATTACACAGGGATACACCACTTAGTGTTGTATAGTCTTTAGTACTGGGCGTAAAGTAGAACAGGTGGTGCTGTGAGAAGGAGATAAGAAGGCTGACTGAGTTTATCTGGTTACAACTACTGCCAGCCTCTTTCGGTCCTCACCTGAGAATTATGGGATCGCTTTGGACTATCCCTTTAACTATCGGATGCACCTTTATCTCTCTCTCACACAAACACAGATAGTAAATAATTTTAATTTAAGGTCATACATGTACATTGTACATGTGCATGTACACAGTCTACAATTAATATCAATTAATATAAGAGACTATGAGCAAGTATATGCACAACTATGTAAGTACGTGTACATCTACAGTGTACTTTTGAATTGTATGTATTATACATGCATACAATTGTGCATACAAGTACTTTACCATTCAAATAATGAATCAAGGTCTTGTTGCTTCATGACATAGTCTAAGACACTGCGTGGTATTGGATCACTAATAGCATTTAATAATACCAACTGAGGAGAGAGAGAGAGAGAGAGTGAACAAATTATTAAAAAGTAGGTATGACATATCATACATGTACATGTAGGTGCATGTATACATGCAACTAACATGTACATGCATAGCAACAGTATGGATCACAGTACCTTATTATCCAGTTCTAGTATGTTGTTATACTTAAGGAATGGCTGCACTACTGGAGCAATGTAACACAGAGCATCAATATCATCCAACTGACTAGCAGCTGCCATTATGAAACCAACTGAACCATATCTGGCCCAAATATTCTACATGTATATACAGGAGAGAGAAAGGGCCATTATTAGCAATATAGGAACTATCTGGTTCACATATTACATATAACACAAACATAATTTATTATTATTATTATTAATGTATTTCTATTATTTCTTACAGGGTGAGCTATGAAAGGTACTATTTGTTGTAGTGATGATATGAGGAATCTTAAGTTAAAGAGCCCATTGATACACAATACTGTCATGGAGGAGATAGCTTCACATATCACTGCCTCTTCTGGATCACTTAAACCCTGAGAGGGGGAAAGGGGAGGGATAGAGGAGGAAATTAATATTTTAATCGCATATGTAAAAACAATTATTAATTTGTGACTATACATGTGTACATGTGCAAAATGTGAATAATGCATTCTGAGCATGCTCAGTGGTTGCTATAAATAGCCTGGCTATCAGCAAAGTCAGTAGCACTCAGTAGTTCCTAAGTCTGTGACAACTGCTACTCTATCCTCTAGAACAACCAAGCTAATAATGGCACAACCTCCAACTAGACGTTCAACAGATGCAAGATCACCTTCAGTTACTACAGTTTCAACTCGTAATGGATGCGCTTTTGATGAATTGCTTAATGGAAGACCAGGTTACTGCTGCGAGCCGAGTAGGCTAATAGAGCAAAAGAGAAGTGAAACCACTGATCAAAGAGTCAAAACATTAACAAAAAATATAGAAGACACCATGAATGAATTTGCAAAATTTGCAATCCAAGGCAAGGAAGTTGAAAGCTTTGCTATTGTGAAAGCTTATGTCCCAAAGCGTGTAAAAAAGCCGCACTTTGACCCAATGGATCCCACCACCTGGAAAAAAGAAGGAATTAGTTTCTGTTGGAGCTACTACAGAGATCTGGAATACGATGCCTTGATTGTTCTTACAGTATTCACAAAAGAAAACGTTCCAGTTAACGAGAACCAAGAAGATTATGCCAAAATGTTGAAGCAAAAGATAGTCAATTACTATAAACATGACAGACATGATGAACGCATACAAAGTGGGCCCTCTGAAGGAAGACAGACAGGAATGCTCAAAGAAGGTTATGCCTTGTGTCTGGCTATAAAATTAGAGGATATTGAGATTGAAAATGAAGACAATAAGAATGAAGACGATGAGGATCTAAAGGCTAAAATAAAAGACTTAAAAGTAAAGTAACTTGCTACTTAAAAGTTAAGATCAAGTTAGTAAGGAAGTTGATCCAAACTATTGTTAGGCGAACTTTATTTGCATACATACACTGTACATTTTGGTTTAGTACATTGAATATTTACATTTTGATTAAGAACATTTTGATTTAGTATCCTTTTTTGATTAATAAATTTGAGACAAAAAATTCAAATAAATCCAGCGCAAAAAAGTACAAGTGGCAACGATAGCTTAAAGGCTTCTACCTAAAGAAAAAATAACAGCGAACAGTAGCAAGGAAAATTGAATTGAGAGGGAGAGAATTGTCAGCCATTTAAAATGATGTTGGATACTAAACAATGTATACACCTATAGGCTAGCAATATCAACCATTCATGGAAGGTACATGTACGTGGAAACTGATACAAAATACATGTGAGCCATGTACATGTAAATAATGCACTTTTACGTTTAATTGCAAGTTTGCAATGCAGCTTTAGAAAATAATCATCATTTGACTGAGAGTGCACTTAATTTTATTGCTATAGCTAGAACAACATTTAAGCAGCATTAATCACATCATGCCTCCATAGTCTAAATAATGGTACATGCAAACTGCTAACAAGACCATTGAGTGAGGTGGTAAGTGGGTAAGAGTTTTTATTACTAAAGCCATATAAAGTGAATAACTGGGAGATGCATTCATTGGGATGGTACAGTATTAACTATACATGTACATGTAGTGTGTACATGTATATTTTCATGTAGTTATCATAGGCAGTAGACATTTTGCACACCTGCAGATATCCAGAGGACTACTGAATATTGAGCACACTATACTTTTATAACAAAATGGCTGAGGCACCAGATGGATGTAGTTCTACTTGTCATTCTGCAAAAATCTGTTATCGTAGTTCAGGCTCAGGAAAATGCTCATGTAAGGAAGCTGGTGTGCTGTGTACAGATTATTGCCCATGTGGTAGACCTTGTATAAATAAAGTAAGAGAGTCTTATTTGTCTTACTATTAGTTTTTTAATTATTTTTTTATTACTGAAGCTTAACAGTGAAGTATCAGATAAAGTAAATGTATTGAAACCATAAATATATACAATATACACCCATAATACCTGCCAGACAGGTCATATCATATATATACTATGCATTTATACTAGTGCTGGGCGATAGTACTACTATCACTATCACGATTGATAGTTACAAAACTATCACGATGTGAATACTATCGCGATGTTCACTCAAGTACTTGACCTCAAATTAATAGTGATTATAATAAAAATAGAATAAGTTGTATAGATGTAGCTAATTGTTTAGATGATAAAGTTAAGAGGTTAAGAGATTTTCTGACAGAAAAAAGCAACAACTGAACTGTACATGGCTGCAGAAGTACCATAACAATAACCTAAAATAGCCCCATCCACTGTATATTGCTGTTAAATTTAAGAAAGAAAATGACTTTTAACTGAAGAATTCGGAAAAATCACACTAGATACTTAAACTAATACTTAACATTTTGTACCAAACTTTCATTTTTAATAAATAAAAGCGACTTTTTGAAAATTTAAATGCATATCCAGGAATGAGCAGCAAATACCCAAAACCTATTGCTAAATGTATATCTACATGTACACATGACATGTACATGTATAGTATATGCACACAAAATGTGTACCATAACAGAGATCGCCAACTATACAATAAAGCCCTCATTCAATTGTGTTTACCTGAGTCCTATTTTCTTGCTATAACTTTATACTTACTAGTTCTATTGTAAAAATACCTGTACCAATGCATTCCTCTCCTTTCACTGCATCTATCGCAATACTTAAGAAGTAGCTGTAGTTTTTGTGCTTATAGTTGATGCAGAAAGTATAGCCATACTTTTCACAATATTATTGGATTTATTGCATTGTGTTAATTATTGGGTGGGGTCTGTAATCACTTCCTGGGCCATAGATATTAGAGTAAATGAAAGGGATTGGAAACGGAAGCGTGGGCGTAGCCCAACCTCCATTCATTTGTACTGCTGATAGGCTGACAGAGGCTCGTTGAAATTTTTTGTCACAATTTACCCTTGATTTCCTTTCTTTTAGGAGCAATATCTCGCGAACAAGTGTTCCTATGCAAGTGAAATTAATGCATCAAGAAGCCTAATGTTTCCTCTTTATAATTCTGTTTTCTTTTGTATAGATAATTTTACTATGTTTATGTTATGGCACTTTTAAAACCATAAAATGTATTTTTTGTCATTATAATCCCTTTTTTGAAAACAAGCTAGAGTAAGATACAAGATCTTTATAATCATATGAAAGAGCTTTCATTTGCATATGGAATGATACTAGTTAGAGTTAGAATCCATGAAGCATGAGTTTGTTACAACAGAAAAAGGGAGAAAAGTGAAAAAATTTTGTTGTACCTATAACTCGTTGCAAAATAGCGTTGTATAAGTAAAAACCTTGCTGCAGGTAGTCCAACACTTTCTATATGGAACGGTAGGTATATCATAAGTAAGCGTCCTCTTGGATCTCCATAAATATCCTTCGAAGTCCTTGCAGCACAGCCTCACTAATGGAGGAGATGGGAAATCAACCAGGTATTGGGCCGGTAACCAATAGCAACATCAACCAGCCTACGCCCCCGTTTCCAATCCCTGTGTACTCTAATATCTATGCCTGGGCTCAGGTGAATGCAAATGGACTTCAATAGCTCAACCGAAGATCTAAATCTTGGGTTTTCCCTGAACATTGCTTACTACACTCCTGTACATACATTATACTATACAAGCAGCTGTACAAATTTAAAAAGATCCCTTAAGACATGTATAGTATAACCTGCTATTGTGGACACTCTAAAATAAGGACACCTCTATAATCAGGACAGGTAGTATCAGTCCCAATACAATAGTAATGTGTATTAATGAACCTCTGAAATAAGGACAGGTTCATAATCAGGAGCTAGGGTATTATTGGGCCCCAAGGTGTCCAGAATAGACAGGATTGACTGTATATCAAATGTACATGCATTCAATTGCCAGATGTATATTTATAAATATCAATACCTGTTGCAATAAAGCCTCAAGAACGTCTAAACTTCTCTCACCAATTTGACTAACCACATCAATAATTGCCTCAAAAAATGCTATATGGAGCTCCCAATTACTCTAATGGGTGTGGTAATTAATGGGCGTGGCCTATTTATTAAATGGGCATGGCTTACTTGTCACTCAAAAATGTGATCATATGAGATAGTATAACATCTTTAGCTGGGGATTGAAGGGCAAAATTTTTGTAGATTGTCATACTTATTTTTAAGTGATAGTCTTACCTTTTTGAGCTCCAAAGAAAGTGCACAACTTCTCAGCACTGTGGGTTAGGAATGCCCTCTTAACATTTGAATCCTAAAATAATAATAATAATAATAATAAATAAATAATTTTTGTCCATTATACATGTAGCTGGTATTATTAATTTATTATTAAGTTTGTCTATACATGTACATACATAAAACAAGGTTACTACATCTCTCAGTTCTCTCTCCCTTTCCTCTCTCCTCTATCATACACTTACATTGTCACTGAGTAGATGGACTACAATTGATTGAAATGTTTGATGTAACTGATGCAACTCATTATCATGAGTACCATATATATCTGATGAAAAAAAACAAACAAACAAACAAACAATAAAAATAAATAAATAATGGTACTTTATTATAACTTGATATTGGTGGTCTATCACTTGACTAGCCATTAATATAACCTTGATAGCTAGCCACACCCACGCAATTAATTCACATTAATACTTGTATCTGTATACATATATGCACATGTACCTGTGGAATAAATCTCATTGACATCACAATGATACAATAATTATGACATTAGCATTTATCGTGTGATTTTAATTTATTCTATTTTTTATAATGTACTGCATCTGTGAAATAATTAATATTTTTAACAATCATAAATTATAATAATAATAAAATTCTATATATATTATTATATACACATACACACACACACACAATAATAACAAAACTTTGAATGAAAATTAACGACGATTATTTCCAAAGTTTAATAATACCGTCACGAGAGGCGCTGATGATAAACTGTTGCGTTAAATTCTGTGGACTTTTATACGGAATGACAGCTAGCGAAGTGATACAGTCAACATGTGACATCACATGTGATTCGGTTGAATCGTCTCCGCCTGTTGACCCACCTCCTCCTCCTCCTCCTCCTCTTGATGCTGTTTTTAACTCTCTCAAAACTTCGACTCCTTCTATGACTTGAGAACTAAAAAGTAGAATGTACAATTATACATTAAAAATAAGCAAATTATTATGAAAATGGAGAAGTATGTTTTAGTCATTTTTTGGCCAACGGCCATATTTTTGAGCAACTTTAAAAATTCGTAAAAAATCTAAATTCGATTGGAATCACCTCAAACTTTCTACACAACATAAAAACATGTATATGTATCAAAAAATGTTATAAAAATTGAGAATTCTCTACTTGACATTTTTGGCAAAATTTGGCCGATGCCCCTGTACTATAGTACAGGGACTTTGAACCAATTTTTAAGCAACTTTAAAAATTCGTAAAAAATCCAAATTTGATTGGAATCACCTCAAACTTTCTAAACAACATAAAAACATGTATATGTATGAAAAAATGCTATAACAATTGAGAATTCTCTACTTGACATTTTTGGCGAAATTTGGCCGACGCCCCTGTACTA